CCTTCCTTCCTTCCTTCCTTCCTTCCTTCCTTCCTTCCTTCCTTCCTAATACAGTAAAATAAGTTGAAAGCAGCATTTTCTGTAGTCCCCAATTGAATAGCACAATTTGAGGAATGCTCACTGGGTTTCAGGAATGTTGGAGGAAACGCAATTTAAAAAAAAATCTGTCGGAGGATACAAATCTAATATCTAAAGCCTGGAACAGCCATCCATTAGACAATTTCAGGAGAGGGGGAAACTTTCATAACAAGCAAATGAAAGTAGACAATGAGTGTTTCTGACCAGAGGACATTAATTCCAGGTAGAGAGAAGAATTAACGATTCCTCCTCATGATTTATTCCTGAGAAGATATCTTTTATTAGTTCAAGCCATCTGAAAAATGCAAACGATGTAAGTCTTCTTGGAGATAATAGCCCTTCAGAATCATGTTGGGGAAGGTTAGATGAAGGAGATAAAATTAATAACATTTTCTAGCACAAGATGGAATTGATGGCTGCTGGCTTAGTGCTTTTTAAACGGTGGCAGACATATAGGATAAATCTTTTAGATGGCCTTTGATGTGAGAAGTAGCCATCTTTTCTGGTGGACCTTCTGCCGTTACCTAGATTGCCAGTGTAAGGCAGGAAAGACTGGGTCAAACAGATAACAGAATAACAGATTTGAAGGGACTTTGGAGGTCTTCTAGTCCAATCCCCTGTTCAAGCAGGGACCCTGCTTCAGGCAAACATTGCCCATGCTCTGCTTAAAAACCTCCAGGGTTGGAGCATCCACAACTTCTGGAGACAACCGTTCCACTGATTAATTGTTCTCAAGGTCAGGAAATTCCTCCTTAGTTCTAGGTTGCTTCTCTCCTTGATTAGCTTCCGTTCATTGCTACTTGCCTTGCCTTCATGTACTGTGGAGTATAAGTTGACCTCCCCTCTTCTTTGTGGCAGCTCCTCAAATATTGGAACACTGCTATCATGTCACCCTCTAGTCCTCCTTTTCATTAAACTAGACAACTAAATATCTGGTATTTGGAGGGCCCACACTACCAACTTACTAACCTAAGACCCAGTTTGGACAAATCCTTTCTTCTTAGGCTGTTGCAATGTGATTTGCTCTGATAAGACTGGAACTCTGACTACCAATGAGATGACCGTGACTCAGCTTGTGACCTCCGATGGATTTAAGGCAGAGGTACTCCAGATGTTTCCTTAGCACTAATGGGTTAAATCTTAGCCATACTTATCTAAGGTCTTAGACTGGGCTTTTTTTTAATGTGGTTCATACCTGTACTACTTCATGGACTCTTAATGATTCATTTCCATCCAAAATGTCCTTGATTTATGACTGTTCCCATTGTCCAATTCTTTAAAAAGAGAGAATGGCCTTCTAATCAAGATTTTGTCTTTGTAATGTAGATAGAAATGGTTGGCTCTTCCTTGGGATGTTTCTTTACATTCCTTCTTACCGATTTATATTCTTCCAGGTGAGTGGAGTTGGATATAATAGAGAAGGAAATGTGTGCCTTTTACCTTCTAAAGAAGTCATCAAAGGATTTTCGAACATCTCAGTGGGAAAACTTGTGGAGGTAAATTATCTGATTACTTCAAATAACAGGTTATTCCGATAACCTGTTATTATTAGTGCCCTGAAGGATGAAAACAAATGCAGCATTTTCAGAATATTGGAATTGCTGCTGGTAAAGTTTCGTTTCCAGTCCTGAGGCACACATAAATATGTTTATTTACATATAAAATCTGAGGCCCCTGGGGCAGCTTCCAAAAAATCTTGAAGGACCTTTAACAATAAGAATAGGATAGAAACTCTACGAGGGAACAAAAGTCATGAACTCAGCATGTTTGAAAAATCCACGCTGAACAGAAAAGCTGTACCATCTAAATCTCAATAAAGGGGAAATTAGTTTTTTTTAAAAAAAAAAAACAGAAAATTCAGTCCACAAAAATGATTTAACCCATAAATGATGACATGTTTTCAGTGGACAACATATTGCTGAAGAGATGCTATTGCTCTTTTCTCAGGAAGTTCATTTAAAGTAAAGCAAAATTTCATGATACACAGAATGTTTATTTATTGGAGGAAGGCTAACTTTCAAGGCTGTAGACCTGGCTCATGGTTTGGGAGCGCATCCTTGATTCGAGTTGAACCCAGAGCTGATGTACAGAAAGCGATTCGCTCGCCTCTTTCTGCACCTCCTAAAAGTTGAAATGAAAATTTTTGCAGGCCGGTTGTGTCGCCAACAACGCCGTGATCAGGAAGGCAGCAGTGATGGGACAACCCACGGAGGGAGCCCTCCTTGCCCTGGCTATGAAGGTAAGGTCCTTAACTACGATTCATAGACTTGCTAATTTTATATTTTATTTGGTTTTGTTTAATATGAAAATGCATAGAGGTAGCCCCTTGCTGTACTGTGATTGTCAAAATACGAGAGATTTAACATTCTGATTTAACATTCTGATGATTGTGCAATTAAAAAATGAATCAATCAGAATATTATAAGTTGTCTGCATATTATGGAGTCCTACCATTTCTTCTTAATTTCCCTCCAAAAGTCTGGAATTCAGTCAGTTAAAAATAAATGTGTAACACGCACACACACACACACACACACACACAAATATCCAATGGATTGGAATAATGCCACATAATCCTTGACCCCACCCACCACTTCCATTAGATCATTGACTGGAAAATAGGATCCTGGGGAAGACAGAGGTTTTCTAATAGAGGAATATTATTTCCAGAACCAGTATAGATGTGTGCAAAAGAAGCAGTTTAGCTCTGGAAAGATGGAGAAAGACAATGCTGGAACAAAAGAGGCCTGATCATCTCAACATCTCCTTGGGGGGAAAGCTGGAGAGATTTAGAAAATTCCACAAACCCCCCCACCCCACCCCCCAT